GTGATAATATTGATAACTTTCACTATAAACTTGATATGAAGTTTCCATACCATTTCATTGGCTTTTTTTTTGTTTTTTGGGGGGCTGAAACTGATGATTGGCTGATACTAGATTGTTGACTTGAAAGATGGCTTGTTGTGGAGAGTTGCAATGTTACTTTTTTAAAAGATTGGATTTTAACCCTAGGCTTAAAATCCCTGAGGTCCTATAGAGAACTCACTTTGAAGGGGGCACATGATTCAGGGATCTGAATGACAGACACTTTTGAGTGGGCAAGTAAGCAACTAACTAGCACCACTTAGCAATGCGTTTTGCTCTGAATTTGTAAGCAACTTTACACTTCAACCGATATGAAGAAAACACACAAAAATAAATTATTAATCACATTGATTTGTATGGCTCTTAATCGCCAATCAAACTTCATGACAGCCCTTTTATTAGCAACACAATTACATGTTTTTAAATCACTGAAGTTTTAAATAATAACAGTTTTGTCTTTTGGCTACGTTTGAGCAAATCAGGTGAGCTATTTAAAGATAATATTGCAGATAAATAGATTATGATGCACAAATCAATGTAAAGACATTTACAAAAAAAAAAAAAATCAAATAAGTAGAATGAGATCCATAAGTGTATAGTAAGTTAAGGTGCATTCTGGTGCATTTTTAGATCACTGCAAGCATTTGTGGATTTTGAAATGTTTATAGCATCTAAATGTATTCACAAATCCGCACTCAATATGCTGTCTACTCAAGCTAATCAGATAACAGCTACATTGGCTAATCATGGTCACAGTAGAATAGGAAATCAGTTTACTTTCCATTGCATCCAGTATCACTAACTATAATGTTTTTTTGTTTTGTTTTTGTTTGTTTTTTGTTTTTGCTTTTGATGCATCAAAGGATCAGAATTTGTGTATAATTTTTAGTTTATCGATTCACCGATACTTATAAAACCCCAACAGTTTTTTTTTTTTTTGCATTTGTGTATGTATGCCCTGATGAAAGAAATGTTACATTTCTTTTGTAAAAGGAAATACAAAAGAATTCTAGCAACAAAGCTGGAATACAATATAGTGGTGTGGACACTATTTTCTTTAGAAAACACTATTTCCTCATCTTTTTTTCTTAAAAAAAAAATAAAAAAACAGAAGGATTTTTAAAACTTTAATATGGTTCTAATTCTTGGTGGCTTTATGTTTTCTTTATACATATTATTCTACAATGAAAATAATCATTCATGACCATTCTCAGAACTTGATATGATCACAACAACAACAAAATTAACCAGCTGTCATCGGCATCAACATTAATACATTGACCAAAAACTAATCCATTGATACTGTTCAAATGCAATACACATTTTTTGATGCCAAACGTAAACCTCACTGATTTTTTGAAGGAATCAGGTTTGGGTTTTTGAAAGAACATGTAGTCGGAATCTGCAATTCAAAGGATTTTTTTTTTATTCCCTCCCCTCTGCCAGTGCTGCTCGTAATGTTGTCTGTGGACTTCATTTTCAGCAGTTATTGTCAGCAGTCATCAAAGTGGGCCTGCTCTCTTGACCTTTCTGACTCTGTTGCCAGAGCTTGAATAAATTTGGCTACAACTTGTGAATAAAATAAAGGCCATTCTCTTTGAAGACCTTAGATCTCTTCAGCTGCTCAACACAATCTTTATTTATGACTTTTCTAAACCCAGCATCATAATTTATCAGATTGTCATCAATATAATACATACATCAACAGCAACAACAAAAACACTACTACTACTACTTCTAAAGTAGTTAATATATAATGTGTATTGTAATATATGGAGTATAATAGACCAGTATAATATCATATTATTGTTGTTGCTACTGTTTTTTTTAAAGACATGGGCAGTTTTGCTAATTTTACAGTAAAAGCTACCAAACAAAAATTATTTCACCACATAATATTGAAGTTTACATGTAAATTATTTAATTCATAAATAAACAAACAAACAAACAAACAAATATCTATGCACAATGAAATAAATCAGTTTATTCTAGTTTGAACATTCATCTCATTGTTTTAATTTTAATTTTATTACTTTATTTATTTTTATTAGTGCTGTCAAAATTAGCGTTAACACAAGCGATTAATTTTTCCAGTTTAACGGAGTTAAAAATATTTAACGCATTTAACGAAGGGACGGTCGGGGCTAGGGTTGGCCACCCCACTCAACTGCTGCTTCTGTCTCTTTATTTCTTGAAAAGAATTGTGTTTATTTAGACACAGAATGTCTTTACGACAACGTCAAACGGGAGACTTTTCAGATGCATACTCCACTTCACCTCAGCGACAGGCGGTAGTCAAACGAGCGCAGAAACGGTACAGGTGATGAGGCAGCTTCAGTAGAACATCAGTAAACTGCGGTCAGATGAGATGTTGTTAAGCCATATGTCAATAAAAATGAATCTTCTTGTCCTGTCTGCTGTTATACTGTGCTCGTAGAATGCGCGCTTCAATTGCATGCACAAATACGGCGGCGCACTGTAGTCTGTGTCATTTCATATTAAAGCGTGAATGAAACTACGAGCATGCGTGTCAGATCCACGTCAGGTTCAGCAGCAGCAGCTCTTAAAGTAATAGCAGCCAAATAACCTAATAGCTCAGCTGCTGTGATTAATTAAAGAACAAAAGAAAAAAGACGAAATCAATAACTTGTGTAGCTTAGGATGTAAGGAAGAAACCTTATGTATAGTTCTACAGTATATTTAATTTTGAATTTAGTGTTTGATAACTTATTTGATAACTATTCAATTTCTGTATATTTCCTACTTGCTGAAGGGCACAGCTAAATATGACATTTATTATAATAGGTTTATCTGAGGATTGTTTTAATTTCACTTAAATTGGAAGTAGTTATTTTTCTTTAAGTCTAATGAATGTTAAAATTAATAGCTCTCAATTATACTGTTGAATGGCTAGTCAATGGTTAACTATTAGGGGGAAAAAAAGAACAGTTTCCTACAGAGATCAGTATTAGTATCAGTGATACTCGCCTTCAGTCATAAAAAAGATGCCATTAAACAAATATTAAAAATATACTGTCTTTATGTTGTTTCTACATTAATTTGAAGATTTAATGTGAAATCATTGCAATATAAAAGTATATTTAAAAAACTTTAATGTTAGGTGGGATTAATCGTGATTAATTTCAGGAAAAAAATGTGATTAATTATTTAAATTTTTTTATTTATATTTATATTTATTTATTTAGTTCGTTTTTTGTTAATCGACTGACAGCACAAATTTTTGCATTAGCTGTTTTCCTCCCAGTGTTTTAGCTTCTGTGTTATCTGCACAGGCCTCTTCAAGCAGTCTTATTTTGTCAGGGTTTCTTTTTTTTCTCTCCCTGTTGCCTGCCTCTTGTAAAGCACACTCATTTTGCTTTCTTACTCTTTTGCCTCCTCAGCTCAACCTGTTTTTCATGCACTGTTGAACTCCACTTTCTTGAAAAGAAATGAGGGCTTCACACAGCAGCGTGCGTCAATTGCAAGCCACTGCAGTTTTGTACCAGACATGGTTTACCTCACTTACTGCATTCAGCATCACCAAACACCCTGTCAGCTTAGTGTTTGGAACACAGGCCTGCCTCTTGTTTGTAATTAGCTCATTTTGTTGATTTTATTTCCCCCACAAAATTAATTGAGCTTTGGTAATAAATAAGTAAATAAATAAATAAAGGTGAATCTCACAAAAGCACCCCTGAATCAAAAGAAGGAAATCTAAATTATACTTTGCATACAAATTAAGCTGAAAATAAGCTTTGCTTTCTTTAAGAAATGTGACCCGGACATGTTCTCGACAGGTTTCATGAGATTCACTCACATTCATACTACACAGAGAATATATCAGACTCCTCTCAGATCTCAGTGCCAAAAACAAAATACTCTCCTCATCAAGGAGATGAAGCTCTGATTTGGGATGGAATATTAAATTATACGCTAATGACTGTGCTGTAGCTGCCATCATTAATGCTTGTTAAGGATATGAATGATTATTGTCAAGACTGTGTAGCTTTTGATTGGATTTAGTTACGTCTTTGATTTGTGACCATTTCTACTTCCTTTCGAATGTCGGATTTAATGTTTCAGATAAATATCCTCTGCAGTCGTTCCGTTTGAAGGTTTGGCAAGCACTGGGACCAGATAATCTGAAAAACAAAGATAAAAGATGAAGAAATTTCGCTCCAGGACTGTAGCTGTGCCCTAGTAGCGAATCACACTAGTGTTTCAAACCATTACCGTCATGGCTTCAAACTAACCCTTGCAGGATAATTCCTTAAAATGAACACACACAATAGGAAACATAAAGTTTACACACCTTGAGTTTCACGAGGTGAAGGAGAAGTTTTAATAGGAACCTTGGAATATGGAGGGGGGGGTATGAGAAGAAAAGAAAAAAAACGTATTTAGAAAAAGCAGCAGGTAAAGAACAGAAGGAATCCTAATGACATCAAAGCTTGTGTTGAGGAAAACAATGCAAGATTTTTTTTTTTTTTGCTCTCACAATGGAGTCAGTGTTATTAAATTTAAATTTTATTTTACCAGTGACTTCTCCAGGTGCTATTAACGTGAGATGGTGATCATCCATATGTCAAGATGCGTTTTAGAAAGAAGCACGTCTCACAAAAGAAGTTAGCGCTAAGTTATTCGCTATTCTCAGTTTAATTTAATCTTCAAATGGCCATTGTTGGGTGTCCCACAACTGTTGTTAATTAGTACTCCAACACAGTATAAAGTATATGTTTGTAAAATAAGATTAGGGAGTGGTTAAATAATTACAATTGAATTGTTTATGTGAATCTACTTCAATGTTCATTGAATCAAATGAAAGGTTTTTTGCAACCCATATGTGTGCAAAACTGTGTTCTTATTTATTTTATGTCATGTAATTTTGTAATGAAGCTGATCGTACAGTTGATTTTAATCGCCTTTTTGTTCAGTGAAATGAAAATCTTGTTTCTTTTCAGGCTGACTGGAATGAATTTGCCATCCCCTGTCATCAGTAGCAAGAATTGGCTGCGGCTTCACTTCACGTCTGACAGCAACCATCGGAGGAAAGGATTTAGTGCCCAGTATCAAGGTAAGGGGTCAGTGTGTGTAGGACATTGGAGGAGAGGAGCGCTCATTGGCAGATTTGGGACAGTTGGCAATGAAAGACAGCACATCCCTTGGCGTGTTCTTCTGTAGCTAAAAATGACATCTTGGCTTGTCTAAGTGACTCAATGAGCAGACACATTGCTGGAATGATGATTACAACATCCCACTGAACGCCCCCCACCCCCTACCCCCTGTTTATATTTGGGAAATCAGTCACGACAGTAGTGAGGGAATTCATGTTTCTAACGTGAATAACGCAAGATGAGGCGCTTCTAAATCATTTTCATGATATGCGTTTATGATCGTGTTTTCTATTTGCATAATAAGCGAGGGATGCTGTGAATCTCAGGGGAAGCTCAGGGGATTTGTTGAATTTGTTACATTTTAGAGTGTTGGCTATAAATGCACTTTCTTTTTATATGACAAAAATATATGCACAGTTGAAGTATTGCAATTAGTGTAGACTACAAATTATGTGCATGCTTACAATGGATTGAAAATGGCCACAGTCTTAGTGCATGAATAGGTAAGAATGGGGACGGTTGTAACACTGTCAGATTAACCACTTAGAAATAGCTACAGTGATTTACATCAATTTGGATTGAATCGTCAGATGAATGTAAATCCTCTGCTTAGCATATGGATGACCAACATCACACTTTAGCACACCTGAAGAAGCTATTGCAAAAATAATAAATAAATGATGGTGTATTTTCATATTAACTATTCACATCTACTTGATTTTATTAAAACAATATATACAGTATATATTTTAAAAATGCATTTATCCAGAATGCGCAGAATATGCATGAATCCAGAATGCGCAGAAAATGCAAAATGCTATTAATTATGAAAATAATTATACTTACTCAGTTTAAAAGTATGAACATGGTAAAATATGGGTAGCTGTGGAACAAGCAACATTCAAATATAAAAAAAATTGTATGAGATTCACACAAGGATTATATTAAATAGTTTTATATTAAAACTGTGTAATCCAAATGGATGGAAATTTTATTTGCAAATCAAATATATACATTTTAAATTTAGGCCTTTAATATTTAACACCATGTGTGTTTATACAGTGTTGGGATAAGTAATAGATTTAGGAAATGTTTGGTATAAAATTGCAATATTTATCTCCTACATTTTTGAATTCAGTTAAAAATGGAAACAAAATGCTATAGTGCATAACATTATTTCCTTTTCCCCCCAAAATCTGTGGCAGTTTGAGGGCATAGCAAGGGTGGCTTTTAAATACATTTAAAGGGGTTATTTCTCACAACAAATAATCGCCACATTTTGCCGCATTGCTTTATTGTGTCTATCATATTTATTAAAATACCTTGTTATTGTATTAAAGCCTACTGATGGGCAGTGTTGGGGAAAGTTACTTTTAAAAGTAATGCATTACAATATTGCGTTACTCCATAAAAAGTAACTAATTACTTTACTTAGTTACGTTTTATGGAAAGTAATGTGTTACGTCACTTTTGCGTTATTTTTTTAAATGTGGACAGGGCTTGCTTGTTTGATTTTAAAATAAAAAAGTTCTATTTTTGGCAAATATAAAAGCCTTTTCACACCAAAAGTGAAATGAATAAGCCTCAGGCTGAAGGGAAAGTAAATTTACGTCCGTACAGTAGAATGCAGAAAAAGATATTTCAACACACTACAGCAATAAAAAAAAGATACACAAATGTTTGTCTAGAGTAATTTTTGCTTATTAGTATGGTTGAACTGGCCACCTATTCTCTTGTAAATTAAAAAGTAATGCGTTACTTTACTAGTTACTTGAAAAAAAGTAATCTGATTACGTAACTCGCGTTACTTGTAATGCGTTACCCCCAACACTGCTGATGGGGCAGATGCCATACAGAGAGGAAATTATGCTAATAATTGGTATCCTACATGGCATAATTACAGGACTGAATTCAGAAATGCCTTGAAATCTAAATTGGCTCCAGATGATGCAAATATTGGTAGGTGTCCAATAATTGCATGCCACAATGATAGTTGTGTTTCAGATAACAAAGTGTGCACATCATTTGAGATCTGTCATACCTCTGCTAATTATAAAAAAACCTCTGCCCATCAGGACAGTCTTATTTTGATGGCCCATGCAAGACTGATTCATAGAGGATTGCTCATATTCAATGAGGTGTTGGCACTCTTGGGCACTTGACAGGCTTTGCTAACTGTATAAATGGATTGTGATTTCCACTTCCACACACTTCACCTTTACCCTCTCCCAACAGTGAAGAAGGCCATCGAGCTGAAATCCAGAGGGGTGAAAATGCTCCCGAGCAAGGATACAAGTCACAAAAATGCAGTCTGTAAGTACACTTCTAACACAGTCCCCCACTTAAATCTAAGCAAACATAAAACAAGAGAACACGTCAGTTCATCTAAGCAGAAACGACCTAATATGCTTCTTTCACTGCAGGCCATGAGGTCTAGACAAGATAAAATAATTGAGGTAAAATGTGTAAAGTTCTCACTGCTTTTTAGTATGTAAGTAGTGATTTAGCTCATGCGAGAGCATGGTATGAATTCTACCCAGGCTCATTTGAAATATGTGCCTCTACCTACATTTCTGCAAAACTGAAAAAAAAAAAAAAAAAGTACCTATATGTACGAATCACTGCAGTTTCCAGTTGAAATAACCACTAGAGTTTAAGTAAAACTCAGACAACTTGTATTCCTTTTTACAAAAAGTATGAATTAGAGGTCCAAAGTTTAGATTAAGAAAGCCTAATTTTCACACAATTACTTGCACAATATTATGTCATGACTTCAAAGCAATTTTAATATGCTGCGAGATTTGAAAACAGACACTTTTGAATGTTAGCGTCACATATACAGCTACATATATTTGGGTTTTCTAACACAGTAGGTTGGCTCTGTAGTTGGCGCAATATTCGGTAGTTACTTGGTTTTTGGAGCTCCTGTATGAATCCCGTGAAACTACGGTTCGACAAAACAGGTCAAAATCGCGTAGAAAGAAGTTAAAATAGCACGTATGCATGAGCGAATTCTTTCGTTAATACTATTGGGAATGTTTATGGTTGGGTTTGGTGTAGGGGGTATGTTAATTTCCAACACGATGTAGCTTTAAAGTTTTAGTGACACTCACTGGACATTTGAATTCTGAACTGCTTCGATACGTACCTGAAGCAACAGAATAAAAACACTGCAATACGTACCTTAACCAACATCATAAAAACGTGGCCACAGTCACATATTGAATGCACGTTTTAGTGCCACTCACTGGATATTTCACTTTGAAACCAAACCACTGTGAAATGTGCAGTAAGGTATGTAATATTGGTGTTGCCGAAATGTCACAACAAACATGAATTTTCATTGAGCCTGAGTTGCATGAATGTTGTATCATAGTCTTTGTCACAATAGAGTTTAATTTTGTTTGAAATTCAAAGGTAAAAAAGTGAATATTTTTTTAAATGTTTATTTAATGTTTTATTTATTTCATTTTTATTATATACTTTTTTTATTATGTTAATTGATACTTTTACACAAACCAGCAGATTATTCTAACTTCAAATTCTGTAGATGAGCCACAATCCAGTCTGTTATAAAATATGCAGTATCCACATACCTGATGACACATCTGCTAAATTATGTTATGTCACTTTGCATTTCACCACTTAACTAAGAACGTCTCGGTTACATATGGTAACCCTCGTTCCCTGAAGGAGGGAACGGAGACGTCACGTCGGATGACCGACGAATTGGGATCTCGCTTAGAGAGACCAATCTACTTCGAGTGTAAACTAAACGAGCCAATGCACTTTCCTCATCTTGGCTAGTTTGAGAAAGATCTTGCTCTGCATTTTTGCATTACCCTGCTACTTGTCACAGCATTTACATATTGTTGCTATTTTGTTGGTTTGATTGCTTCTATTGTCCTCATTGTAAGTCACTTTGGATAACAAATGGAATCACTATATGTGAATGCACATGTAAATGTACTCCACGTATAGCAAAATCTCTACTGGTTAAAATTTCTACCGTTGCGGGTCATGCCACCCTGCCCTAGCATAGACTTTATTACACGGTTCCATGGATTTTTTTTATTCTGATTGGTCAATCGCAGCATTACACTTTGTGATATGTTTGTATAGTAGTCCTAAACTCTGCAATTGTCCTGTTTCTTACATAATTGTGTTAGTTTCATATTGATTTAATAAAACTGTATGCAGGCACCACACCACAATTTTCAAAAGCCAACAGTTCAATTTTATTGGCTGAAGGAATGCTAATATGTCTATGCCTCTGATAATCTATACATTATTAATTTATAAACGCAGGATTAATGAAATAAAGCTGAACTGTTCCATTCTCTTCAGCACAACTGTATTCTTAGTCACTATTGTGGCCTTGCTTGTTTTCATTATGAGTTTAATAAAGATGCCCTTGATGATATTCTTAATAGGGTGGAGGAAGCTATGCAACGTTATGCTGTATGGATGATTTTGCCCGTTCTGCGCTTCGTTGAACAAGTTCCATGGCAATTAACATTACAAAAGCTGCTGACTCTGTGAAGTACACCACTTCATTTGAGCTTCTGTAAAATTTACACAGTGTGTGCATGATTACAATATCTTGTTTATGGACACTCAGTCAGTCATTACATGCAAGATGAGAGAGGTTGCCTAGGGTTTTCATGACAAACAGTGCAGTTCACCTACAGGAAATTAAGAGATTGCCATTTTACTGAAACAAACCACATAGTTTCACCACCCAAACATGCCAGTGTAACTTGTATAGTGCACAGTAAATGCATTTGTGCACATGCAGTTTTACTTTTACAGAGCCAGACTTTTGACTATCTGTATATAGGCCTACACACTTTGAAATGGTTAATTGACCACAGTTTGTGTTGTTGTTTTTTTTCCTTGTGTAACGATTCAGTCCACTGAAGGCGAGCGTAGTGAGAACCCAAGTGCAGTTTTATTCAAACAAGGTGAAATCCAAAATCCAAACATAATCCAAACAAGATACACAAACTTGACTTGACTTGACTTGACTTGACGAGGCATGAACAGACTTGACATGAACAGATTTGACGAGGCACAAACAGACTAGACTCACCGACAGC